TACGAGATTAAGACGATTTGTGTTTGTTCTGATTGCGAATTATAAATGTATTTCTTTTAGATCGAATAATTATTAAAGCTTGGCTTGATATTATGCGGTTTGTGGTGGTCATTTAAGCGAACTAGTTCCTAACGAAACACCCTCCCCCTCTAGAACTGGCTGGGCTGGTGGCCAATAAAGTGTTTACTGATTAAAAGTATATCGGGTTATTTTTCATGAGCGATCCCGGAGATTGTTAATGAAAAGAGGTTTATAAACACAGTCTGGTTAATACTGTCTCGCTGAATTTAGCAATTTTCTGATTCTATACTCTATGGCATTAGCAAACGCTCCAGTTGACAAGTGGAATTTGCCTTTTAGTGCAACATTAGCGTAACAAAATGTATGAATTGTAGCCTAGATGTTTTGCACGCAAAGCTAGAGCGGAGAGTCTGCATTTGAAAAAGATAAGATAATTTTAGTGTACAATAACAGTTAACGTAATTTTTTTAAATTTCATATTAGTCAGCAGAAAATTCATCCGCAAGTGCCCTGATAAATGAATGAACTTTTTCCTTTTTGAACGTTCTTTTAAATTATCCAAACGATTAACCTTTGGTTATTATTATCCATTCTCAAACTAATTAATTATTCATGTGCTGATGACCCAGTCAGCTTACATCGATTGAGTCAGGTGCATGTATTTTGATACCCAATGAACATACCGATCAAGACACATTCGATTAGTTCAAAAACTGATCAAGACACTGATCAAGAAACTTGAATTTTAATCAGTCTTAATACTAAATACAGTATATTTGCCGCTTCAATCATTACTTACAACAACAATAGGGCAACATATTATTCTTTCAACTTTTCCGTTGTAGAAATAGATGCCAGCAATTTCTTCTCCCAGAATGTTGCTTCTTCTTGCTCGCTCACAAACTCCTTCTCCTCCTTCTTGCACTTAATGTGAAGCCCTTCTCGAACGCCATCCTTCATCTCGGCATCTAAGCAACGTCGGAACAGGACAAACCTTCGAAAAACAACACACCAAATTCAGTTCCCAAAACAGTGCATTTTAAGCTTCTGAACAATGCGTCTAAAAGTTGTCAATTACCTTTTGTCACCAGCGTCCAGAGGATTCAAAGCTTCGAATCCATTTTTCTCCTCCAAATAACGCTTAGCGCACAAATGATACCATAAACAGTCTTGGGAGGGTATCTTCCACAGGACTTTTTAGCTACCTCCATCACGAATTTTGACAACCAATAGCTCAGCGACAGAACATCCATTCCGCAATATCTGCGCTCAGAGTGGTAACCTTATGTAAATCGTAGTCCTTGGAGAGACCACCACAATCTAATACCGGAACTTGAACCTCTCTTAACCTCTGCAATTCGGCAAAAATGCTCACAGCCCACTTTTTTTTAATATTTAGTTGAAGCTGGAACGGCGTCATTCACCAGAACGTTTTCTTGAAAAGAAGTTTTAGGAACGCGAAATCGTTCTGATCCGGGCTCGACCTCCATCACGCGCCGTAATGTTAATCTACTAAAAAACCCGCCAGCATGGCCGCATATTAAATATTCATTTCCTTTACTACGAATAAGAAACAAACAATAGCCTATTGAGCACGTCTTCTAATTACCTATTCTTCGGAAATAATGCCACTAAATTCTCACACTAGTTTGAGAAGCCAGCTCAAAAACTTCGGTTTTCATCAGGGGTTCCAAACACCTCGAAACAATAAAAGCACTCCGCCTTCGGCGCTGTGCTTTCATCCCGTCTCTCGGTGTTTGGAGCCCCTGATGAAAACCTCGCACTCGTTTTTGATCTATTACATCAAAGCAACGGTACCCCCTAAGGGAGCATTACGTTATTTTGATCAAAAGGGAATGTCCACTGAACGCACAGGGTATGGTTTTTAGGGCCTTGACCAGAGAATCTGCAAGGGGATACAATTTAAGAACGTGAAGGTTGGCGTGTGTGCTCTACAGTACATTTATTACGATTTTTTCCCAAAAGAATTTAATGCCGTGATGTTGGTTTAAAAAGGTACTTATAAACATTTCTTCCATGCAAAATAAATAAGGGTACCAAAATAAAGTCTCTTGTCTTAAAAAGAGTAGCGAAATGAACGAACTTGGACAGGGCCTGCAAGCTTACGCGGTTCCCCTCTAACCAAACTTCTCCTCAAGTGTCTCCCTTTTCCCTCATAAAGGTCCTCTGCTCACGTTTTTTTTTCTTTTTCAATTTTTTTTTTGGACTATTATTTATGAAAATTGGTTTTCTAGGTCATCGTTTTCTAGAAAACTACGACCTAGGTCATCGTTTTCTAGGTCATCGTTTTCTTGGTCATCGTTTTCTAGGTCGTTGTTTTCTAGGTAGTCTTTTTCTAGGACATCGTTTTCTAGGTCGTTGTTTTCTAGGTGGTCGTTTTCTAGGTCGTAGTTTTCTAGGTCATCGTTTTCTAGGTCGTTGTTTTCTAGGTGATCGTTTTCTAGGTCGTAGGTCTTCG